GCAATGTTAATTAATGCTTTATATGATTGTGAACCAATTGTGTTATATTAAACTGACAATTATATTAATTAATGTAATGTTATGTCTAAGTGCAATGCTACGCTAATTAATTAATGCTTTATATGGTTCTGAACCAATTGTGTTATATTAAACTAACAATTATATTAATTAATGTAATTTAATGCGATGTCTAAGTCAATGCTATGCTAATTAATTAATGCTTTATATGGTTATGAACAAATTAACAATCTGATTTCAAAAATTATATAAACTGTAAGTTCTTTGCAAGTTTAAAATTTGAACTTGCAAGTAATTTAACAATGAATAGACAAACTCTTAACTTAATTTTGATCATTCTTTTTTCATATTTATTAAAGTCGATTATTGCTGTTGATTCCTATGAGCCTTGTATTACTACAACCACTACCACTACAATGACAGCAACCTGCACTACTACACCTACTCCTAACCTTAGTTGCCCCAAAAATCATCAGAAAAGGAATGGAAACAAGCACCATCGCAATAAGAAAGAAATAATTACTTGCACTCTTACAGAAACTACATGCATTACACCAGCACCTACTTGTGTGCCTTCTGGAGGTCCATGTATAGTTGAAAATTTTACATCATGCTGTATGGGTCCATTGGGTGGTGAAGGATGTCAGTTTACTCCACCGAACCCAATAGGTACTTGCTTTCCAATTTAAGTTGTCAAAAACATGTAAATAATTGATGAAATTATATTATCATAAAAAATTAGTGAAATAATTTCACTGAACATGTTTAAAATTAAAACCAAATTTAACTAGTTAAACTATCAGAAATAGAAATTAATTTATAGTTTAGACTAATAGAATTAATTCTATAACAGATTAATAAATATTTTTTGCTTTTTAAGTTATCTTTACATTGTTTAATAGCCTTGTTATAATAAATTATACCATTTTTCACAAATAAATATCTTTTTGTTCATAAAATTGCAATTTTATATTGGGCTAATATGAAAAAAATACTTAAATTGCCTCCGGCTCAAAATCACTTATCTTGGATAACATAAAGCAGTTCTCTTAGAAAATCATACTTGCTTTGGTCAGAAACTCAGTGATTATCTTAAAATTGGCAATATATACTAATGCAAACTAGATGGAATAGCTTTGTAACTCAATATAATATTCAAAAACAAAGCTTTAGTCAAAGAGAAAAGCAATTCTATATCGATTTAGTAAACTTTTTTTACACAATTTATGCTCATTTATAAATAAAAAAAGTCAATTATAGTAAAATGATCTTTTTGAAAGTACTTATTTTTTTTTACCTGTCTTAGGTACTTTGTAAAAGTCGAAAATAAGAGGGTAGTGAAAAAACTACAAGTATATGCTAAATTGGCAAGAACTAGTGAACAAATCTAATTAGCTTTCAAAACTATTAAATTTGACTAGAAAAATAAATAATAAATGTAAGATTTCTCGATTTTCTAATTAAATGCAAATCGTAGGACATATCCTGTGATCAATATGGATTGACACAAAATACAGAAACCAATGAGTACTAGATAGTGTTGCAATATGCTGATAAAGGAAATCTCCACAAGTTTTTAAAATCAAGTTTTAGAGAACTTAAATGGGAAATTAAATTAAACCAACTTAAAGAGATTTCATAAATATTTTACAAAATCAACACAGTAAAAAGAATATTCAATCTTACGCTGCTGATCTTGGATTGTCCAAAAAGAAAGATGAACAAAAATTAAATGATGAAATTTATGGTGTTATGCCTTATGTTGCTCCCAAAGTTTTATCAAGAGAACAACCATTTACACAAGCAGCTGATATTTATAGCTTTGGTGTTATTATGGCTGAAATGTCAACTGGAAAGAGGCCTTTTGATGGCCAGAAATTTGATCTTAAACTTGCTTTAAAGATTATCAAAGGAGAATGACCAGAGTTTGCTCCTGGAATTCCCGAATGCTATGTTGAATTAGCTAAGAAATACATGCATTCCGATCCACAAAAACGAACTAGTGCATGGGATGTTTATTATAAAATTAAAAATTGGCTTAAAGATAAAAATGAAATTAGAAAACAATTCAACAAGAGGAACCGTCGATGTTACACGACTGATCCTTCACCCGGTGTTCAACATATAAAAAATTTATTTTATAATACCAGATCATTTCGCTATTACATGTTATAATTATAATCCCACACCATTTTATTATAATAAAAAATGGTGTGGGATTATAATCATAACATGTACTAGCAGAATGATCTGGTATTATAAAATAATTTTTTTATATGTTGCATACTGGGTGAAGGATCAGTCGTGTAACATCGACGGTTCCTCCTGTTAAACAATTCTTAGGTGCTGATAAAGTTATTAAAACATTACCAATAAACTTACCAAGTCATCTGGATCATATGTACACCAGCAAACTTATCAGCACAAAATTAATTTCAGATGCGATTAAAGAAGGTAATTTATTTTTAAATTTATATATTAAATTATGTATAAGAATAATAAATGAATCTTTTGTTATTTAGATTTATCTCAAGTCGATTCTGCGCAAATTAATCTTAATATTTCTAAATAAGAGTTTTTAAAGTTTAGGTAGTATCAATTAAATTATAAAATATATTTTCATTAGATTAAACTGCAGAATGTAATCGAAGAAAAAGTTTGATGATTGTAAGAACAATGGATGGAGGGAGTTTGATTCTGTGTAAGGCTTTTTCCAGAAGAGCAATGTTAACAGAGTCATAAGCTTTGCTCATATCTTGTGATAA